ACTGTGCTGAATATAAACATCACTTGGCAGATGTGCTTAATCAAAAGCAAACAGCTCAAATATCTCAGTACTCTCAGACTGCGCGTGCATAACGTAACCAAAACTCTACAAGATATTCAACTGGCAATTCTGAATGATGAATGCCAAGGAAACCTCAATTTGTACAAAGAGTTGATAGCCAGACAAAATTAAAACCCCAAACCTGAGGTTGTTAACTGCAAATGAATTGCCCTGTTCCAGTTGCAAGCAGGCTTTGTGCCACTTTGGGCATACAGTATATGTTGCCAGAGCTCTTTAAATGTTAGGTCAATGGTCAAAAACAAGTTGAAGTAGGCTGTGGCTAACAGCTGGCCATTTCTTGCTGGTTCAGTAGGTAAAAAGTCAAGCATTGAGACAGATTACACTCATTGCTTTTGGATTCCCTGTTTTACACAACCCACTGGACACTAAATCCTCTTATTTCAGGTTTATAATCTATGTTGCTTCTATCTTCAACAGAGGTTGATGCATTAAGCATATGCCCAGCAGGTAACATTGCCAGATAGTCAAAGGAATAGAGGGTGAGGGGTCCAGGAGACAGTTTTATCCCCCTCTGGAACAAACCCGTCTTACAAAAGCATCAGCATCCAATGGACAAAGCACACACTGAGGGTCAGGATTCAAGGCCAGCCTTTGAGCCACCTTGAGCAAATGACTGACCACCTCAGTGCTGCAGTCTCATCACCTCCAGGATACAGGCTAATATTGGGTATCTGGAGATTTATGGATGAGATGCGCCATGTAACTAAGCATTAGAAATAAAGAGGGTGAGTGAAAAGCTACTGCTCCTTGCTCCAAGGAAAGTGGCTGTCTGTCAGGGGTGTGTGCTGGGGTTGCTAGCAGGGTACAGAGTCGTGTGCACCATGGGGAAAGGCCCTAGTTTCAGAAAGACCGTTCCAGCCTGGCAGAAGCCAGGTGAAGCAGAAAAGCTGCAGCTCATGTTAGCATCTGGGGGGCGCAGAGGAATGCTGCCATTTAACAAAGAGAGAGGAGAGACCTTTATGCTGGAATTTTCAAACAGATACTTGCTTCAATGCCTGCTCTCTGGCCGGGGCTTAGCAAGCATTTCACTGGAGTGCTCTAAATCCTCCTATTATACACATATGAGAACTGGCCATTTTCAAACAGCGCTTTGGCACTGTATGACTCACTGCTGCACATAGTTTGCAAACTGCCAACACCACCAAAATTGACTAACCCCTCCTTTATACAACATCCCCGTAAGAGCTGAGCGTGTGTTCACTGCCAATAACTGTGTACAGGATTACCATGGTTTATTAAGCACAAATAAATCCCGTACCCCGAACAGACAAAACGTGCTGAAGCTTCCATGCACTCTCTCTTTAAGAAGGAAGAATATTATAAAATCTGGCCAGTAGCTCTTGATCAGTCACCAACTTCCTGTGAGGTGAGGCACAAGCCTCATTCAGTCATTTTTGTTACACGGCAATGTTGCGTATTATCTCAAGCAATACTATGAGGTTTAGTCCATTTTCAAGTCTAAGAACACTGTAAAGCTGATATAATGTCCAGGGCACCGTCTAAAAAACAACAACAAGCTGATAGCTGAAGAAAGCTGTATTTCTATTAACTGAGGATTAACTAGCCTTCAACCAAACCTCTCTACCAAGTAGGAACTACTGTTTCCCCTATTACAGGGGTGTCAATCTCCTGTAGGCCAGTTGAGTGGCACGAGGCCAGGTCCATAGGCCAGACTGGGTCTACAAAGCCCCCTGCCCTCACCTCTGCATGCCAGATCCAGCACCCGGCCCAGCTGGTCTGGGGCTGCACTGCATGTGGGGTGGGTGCAACGCAGATCTCAGAGCAGCCAGGGCAGGCCTCACATACAGGTCAACTCTAAGACCCAGGAAAAGCACCAGGGGCCAAGACGATGGGCCTCTGCAGGCAGATCTGGCCCATGGGCCTCACTGTTGACACTCCTTCCTATTTCAAAGGAAAATGAACAAAAGAGTCAGATTCTCTCTGCATCCTTGGTCAAATCGTACGTCAGAACAGAGATAAGATGTGCCTAACGACCGGCATCTTTCTTTAATTAGCACTGAGAGTTTGAAGGGTTTGAACTAGCACTATTTTCTGTTCCAAGTGCACCCAATTTCTGCCTAAACGCGTTTCCTTCATTCCCTGTACCAAGAACGTTGTTGTTCCATGGAAGGGCTCAGGGGCCTCCTGGGGAGCAATTCTCAGAACTCCGCATACAAGATGCCCCTAAAATCAAACACCAGACCTGATGCGAGCATCAATACAAAAGAATGAAAGCTAGAAATGTTAACTGGGAGATGTGTTAGTGTGGGCTCTTTAAAACCCTGGCACTAGAACTTGTGCAGTAAACCAGCAGACAGACTAACTACAACTTTGGACAATCTAAAACCCGAAAAGGATTTCTGAAAACAGTTCTCATGAGATGACATGAGAAAGTGCTTTAGTTCTTTATAAATGGAAAAAAAGGATCTCCTTTGGCATAAGAGTTAGGTCAACATGCTTACCACAACTGTAACAGTGAGCAACCAGCAGTTTTGTAGGCAAGTACCTTGCGTGGCCACTGTGGGTTATTTTATTACAGTAACGTAAGGGAGAGGTTAGCATAGAACGAATGTTTAAGGAGTGATAAGTTAAGCTGGACAAGGAACTCAAGATGACAAAGACTAAAAATGAACTGCGTACTCCACTGCTTTATTTCATAAAGCAACCTGGCAAACCACAGATAAGCGCAACCTGGCACAAAAAACAGGCAGAAGCCCAGGTCACCAATTTACAAGAGAACAGGACCAAATGACAAATCCCACCCAGACATGCAGTTGGGCTAGAAAGAACCCAAGAGATCTGGTAACTTTGCCTGTACTTCTTTATGAGAGATTGGACCAGGGAACTGAAGTGGGACCAAAAGGGTTACATGCAGCAGACAGGAAATGGATGCCCTTCTCTTTAATGCAGGGGTACAGCCAGACTTCAGGGTCCAATATTCAATGAATTATCTTCACAGAAGGTAATTCTCGACTGCCCCACTGGATCTGTACTTCCCCTTTTCGTCCCATGCATCTACATACTTTAAACATTTTAAGATGCATGTCTGATGACCCCACTGCACACAGCAGCTGCTCTGCTTATACGACACCATAACACACCAGCATGGACTTTTGAATTGTTACCAGCCCTAGCCCTTGTGAAGAAAACCCCTGAGTGCTTAAGACAGCTCAACATAGGAAAAAAAAAAAAGCATCCACAATTGGACTGATGAATGTAGGGCTGTCAAACAGCAGACACCTCAAAACAAAACCACTAGATGTCCTAGATACCCGGGTCTTTAGACACCCTGAAGTCAGTTCAGAACTAGACGCTTCAAACAAAGGCAAAGTGCACCATCCCAAGCGCTGCTACTCTGGGCAAAGGCTGCCCTCGCTGTTAGTAGTGAGATGCAGCTTGGAGAAGCAACAAGTCCCTTTTTGCATCACTCCATTTCAATCCAAGCAGATGTGGAAAGTGCACGCTGGAACCCAGAGTCTCCACAGGCTCCATTCACACAGAAGAGATGCTGTACTTAGCTATGCAAATTAAGTGCAGCTCTCAGACGCTTGAAGGCTGCCGACGCAGCTAGGAGTCCCCATTTTGAGCCATCTAAAGGAAGGAAAAGTTTGGCATTTAGCAAGTCTAAATCGGGGTTATTTGACCCCAGCAGTCTTTCCTGTCCAGAGCAGGCAGGCTAGACCCGATGATCTCAATGTCCCTTCAAGCCCTAAACTTCTGTGAAACTTTTTCCTTGAGTTCCTGTCCACAGAGACAGACACACTTTCCAGAACCCAGGGAAACAGTCACACTCATGTATGCCTCCTTGGCATTTCAGCCTTCCCCTACTATTTTCCAATAAATTCCCAAGCATTTCTTCTCTTTCACAAAAGTTTAAAACCTGAGCTAGCTAGGGAACAAACCTGGAGCAGCAGGATTATATCAGACAGGTCAGTTCTGAACCTGCCCAGCGTTCCCAAAACTGACCAGAACTCCAAAAACAAACTTACCTATTTGGGGACAGTCTGGCAGAGACGCCCCACTCACTTTCCACCTCCCCAGACAAGGAATTGAGGCTTTGCAGCTAAACAGATCAGGGAATACCGTACGACACTTACTCCTCGGAAAGCCACAGAAGTGAACAAAACAATAAGGGACTCAAGTTTCGCTCTTTTTCCCCCCTGGAAAATGGAAGCAGCAGCCAAAGAGTTTTTGGAAACAAAAGACAGCACAGAGAAGAGGAGCCAATTACAGACCAGAGTCAATGCAGATGTTGTTAGAGCACTAGTAATGACATTATTCTTAATTCAACAGGCTCCACAACAAGGGATCAAAAGAGAAGACAGAACACACTGCACACAGAGGGAGAAAACGGACACTCAAAGGCAACATCCACGACCCACCAAGGGACCAATGACAATTTGTACTGGCTCCCAGCTTGCAGATTAGCCTGCTGGCTCATGTCTAGTCTAGCAAGACTGTCACTCCCTCTCGAGCACTAGTCAGCCTGAAGATTCAGAAACCAGGAAGAGTGACTCAACCTCACCGATCAGTTTAGAAGAGCCCAACGTGCAACTTTTAAGTTTTGTAAAAGTAGCCAAAAACTGCCACTGCTCTACCATGCGAGATGAATGTTAGATTCAGAGAGATGTTTCAGGAAGCAGGCAACAAAAATAAATAATTAAAACCTGGCCTTCTACTTCTCCAGTGAAAGGCGGGGGGCCAGCTAATCAGGGAAAAATGATTTGCCTTATCTAAAAGTACAGAGGAAGAAAATCTAGCCCAACAGAAATGCAGACTCAGGTTCCTGGTTATATTTCCTCTCTTTTGACCACCATAAAAACTGTCCCAAATAAAAGGAATCTTCCCTTTCTCGTCTTCAGTTCAGAAAGTCTGCTTTGCTAGGAACCGCTGCTATCAAGAAGTAGAACTTTGCCTACCAGAAACAGGAATTTCTTTGGCAAAAACAAAAGATCCCGGCTGTGGGATAAACCATTAAAGAAAAGCTCTTGACTGCAAACAGTAGAGGAAATGAAGTCTCCCCCTGCTGTCACAATTCACAGCAGTTCCACAGAACCAAATGTACGAGAGTAAAGTTCCTAGTCGGAAAAGTACTGGGGTGGAGTCCAGAAGTGATATGTTGTGACACCTGATCTGTTTATCTGGCTATCAGGATAAAGAAAGTTTCCCATAATAACAGACGGGAAATGGAACTTTCTTACTATTTTAGGGGAACGCAGCTGGCTACAATACCGGCAAAAAATTAACTTGCTTTGCTCCATTTCTTCAACTGCCTATTTTATTACTTTCGGAGCACAACCTGTCTATTAGCAAACTTTATTTTTGTTTCTGTTGTGAAGTCCAGATCCTAACCAGCTGGAACATTCTGTAACACAAGCTTGCCCGCTGTCGGTACCTGTGCAAAACGATTACTGGATTTCTAAACTTCCATAATCAAGTGTGGGGCAAGGTGAGAGCTTTCAATTGGCCCAATGGCCTGGTTGGGATAGACTCAGACAAGCATTTGGATACCACAGTGCCCTTCCTCAGGTCTTTGCTGTCGAGTGCACAACTATCGAGTACACAACGTGGTGCGCCAAAGCCCTGCCCTCTCCAGGAGCAGGGAGAGACGGGTAAAACTACCACATGCCGCCCGCTCTCTTTACATTGTGCCACTCCCTTCAGGCGATGAGACTGGAAACCCCCTCCCACCAGGGATACTTTCCTTCCACACCTTTTCTGAAGGGAGGGAAGGTGGGGGAAAAAGAGACAACTGATCCCAAACCAGAAAGATGCCCCATAAACACGAACCCTCCCACCCAGGGATACTTTCCTTCGCCACCTTTTGTGGAATGATGGGGGGGG